CGACACGTGACTGTAGGCTTCCCGGGAACGTTGCCATGGCAACGGTCAGGGCTGCTGCGTAAATACGCCACTCTTTGTCGAGTAGCGCTGCAATTGCTTCGGTTTTTTCTCGCGTAATCTGCGTTGTTTTGTTTCTTGGAACTTTATTGTTGGTTACCGATGTTTTGAGTTTTGTTTTTACGCTGTTATATGAGAATAGACGTCATTATTAATAGTCAACTTCGATAGGATGACTACACTTTTTTATACATTCCAAAACCAATCTTGAGATTTAAGAAATAAAAACTAAAATTGCATGTATCATTTGAGGACAGTTTCGACCTCAAGAGTGACACGGAGATCAAGTTAGAGTAGCATGTCATTAGTGGACTAACTTTATGTACATACCTACTTGGTTTGTAGTTGGAGCCTTGATTTACTTAGAAAAAGTTACACAACGTTTTGTTGCTCATTGCGTCTTTAAAAGCTTTTATTTATTTTACTTGTAAGTTTTGCATCTAAATGACCTGTTTACACATTTGACATTGTACTCATTCGTCATCATCGAGTACAAAAGCACAGCGCGATGTTGTGTCAACAAACAAAGACAAATCGCCTACAGAATCGAACACAAAATAATTCTCAATCCCCAGTATCCAATTACAACATCTGCGAGACCTCTAAATTAATAACTACCCTAAGAAAAGTAAGCAAAACATTTTTCTTCGGGTATTTTATCGATAAAAATAGGCGAACGGTCCACGTGTATCCCAGCAAAGTAACCGGAAGCTCGCACCGGCCTTGGCGGTGCGTAGCAACCCCGGAAGAAAAAGAAAAAATCTATAATAGTACTACGGTGCAGGCGGGGGGCGCCCTAGTTGCGGCCCGGCCACCCTCGCGGCTGCCATGTACCGCGGCCTACTACATCTACTCTCACTTCATAACACGCAACTTTAATCGAACTGCTGAGATGCGCACTGCACTCTGCTTGATTAACTCAACACTAACAGTTTACAGAACAAGTCTGTACCTGCCAGTACCTGCTCGCGCCTCCCGACGCCTGGCTGTAGTATCGTCTGAACGACTTTGGAAACTTTTCTTGTAATCTATCCACTTATATAATTAAATCGTTACACGTTCCGCCAAAATGTGCCTACTTGAAGGGTCAACGAATTTACTATGTACCTTCGCAGTATTTCTGATTATTGGAGGCAAATTCTGAGAAAAGCCGAGGAAAACGCGTGGGAAAGCAGTGTTCCCGGAATCCGTACCATTATAAGTGGGTACATTTTTGTGATACTTATCAAAGCGGCACGAGTAAAATTTTTTTTCTAATGCTGAAAGGGCGTAACTGATGATATTGTTTGATGGCGAAGCGATATCTAGTTAATGGAAATAAGGTTTAATATTCAATGTAATATGTTTTGTTTACTCGATAACTAGTATGGTGGTACAGATGCAAATGAAAATGATGTTTGTTGTGTAGAATGAAATGCAAGCACATTACAGGTGACGTTTGTAAAGTTTAACGCAAGATTGCTTCCTAACGTTTAACCAGTTCTGAGCGAAAAAACTGCGAGGTCGAGACACGAGCGACAAAAACACGCGCTCGTAAAATACAATAACACAAACAAAAAACTAAATCTGTAGACATCAATAAACAAGCAGGCGAGGAGGAGCTCGCTTCAATTACAATAGTAATATCGTTAAGGCTGCAGTGGTAGATGTAACTTAATGTTATATTAATCACAATTTTTATAAAATTTGATAACATTTATATTAAAAGCGTAAAGTTTTGATATATTATTGATTCTGCTGTGATTGTAACATCGTGACTGGTTTTAATTAACGACGTAGTTAGTTCGTTATTTCGATGTATTTGTGATAAAACATATTGCAAATCCACAACGCTAATTTCAATAATTTGATTCTGTGGGGCATTATGTCAATCAAATTTAATAGAACATGCATTACTGACGGGAGAAGTAATAAATACATAGACAAGGAGTATGGTTTTTACATGAATACTTTTTTATTCTCATACGTTTTGAAAACAATGAAGACCTACAGGAACCTAATTTTATATTACGAATGTATTGATTGCATGTTTTATTATTACTTTTTTATGACTCAGTTTGCCAATTTGGCAGTACCTACTTTGCATTTCATTTGGTATGAATGGTCAGTTAGCATAATTGTGACTTGGACTTCCCCAGCTCATGTATGTAATATTGTTATCTTTATAGTACTAGACGTGTGTTGATCTTTGACTTATTTATCAACATGACCTGGCTCTGGGTCAGTTGCATGTAATTGTATGTAAGATTTAAGAATTGCTAGATCATTAGCATGAATTTAACTCGTCGAGTACCGGTTTTATAGACCCAATTAAAGAACAATAGGTCGCGGTCACCGGTGACCGCTTGGTGTTTGACAGTTTAATATGAACAGTAACAAATACATTTGTTTTTAGGATTATAAAGTTTAAGTTCATTTCTATCGTCCTTTTATTTCTAAGTATCAATTCTTTGCGAATAATTTAAAGTTATAATTATAAATATTTGATTAGTAAACATGAAGTCAGCATTAATGATTCTAAAGTGAATTTGCATTAAATTCTAAGGCTGGGAATGCTGTGGCGGCGACAGCGGAGCTGATGTTATTATATACCTTATTACGCCACATTACGAGTGCAATAATTGCTTCCGTTATACTTGTCAATAAACGTAGTGTAACAACATTCTTGTCCGCTACTCTATTAGAACTAGTCGTGCTTGCAATATTTGTAACTCCATTCACAATGAAGCCGCGCCTCGCTTTGTTTACATCGCCCGTAAATCGCCTCCGCCTTTAGTACTATGGTTTCATCCTAAATCTAGTTAAACCTACACAGAAACCGGTTGGAAGATCTTCAGGCCACCTCGGACAAGCAATAAAAACTGCACACAGTCATACTTAATGATAATACTAGTGTTAGTGTATATTACTGTGATGACCTTTGAGAACATAATAAAGATGGTACTTCATACTAAACTGTGGTCTGTTACTATGCTATACTATACTACTCAAAGAAACGTTTGCACATACTCGTCTTACGCTGTAATTATAACTATTAAACTTGCTTTCTAAACAATAATTATATTCGCGAAATATCTTCTTTATTTACGGACTATATTATATCTAACCAGTAAAGCGAAACACTCCCACTGAAATCGAATTGCATTCGGGAATGTTGCAAACAAAAATATTTGCAACGCTGATCATAATAAGCACCATAATGGAACAACACGAGATCCATACATTGATAAATGAAGCTGTTAAACGTTTTACAAGACACGCCAACATAATTTAGACTTAAACATTTAGCAAATAAGACTGAATTTGTATCAGTTAAGGTGTATCGTCTACATGTGAACCATTGAGCGAGGCCAGCGTCGAACCGGCACGGCAAGGTTGAGGCGACAGATAAAAACAACAAACAAAACCACGGTATGGGTTATTGTGGGCACTCGAGAATATTTGCTAAACCGATGATTTATTTGGATGATCCTCAAAGAGGCGATGGGATGATGGTTCACTGTAGGTACATGAAAGCCAACGAACTTGAGACAAAAGAACTGAGCAAGATTAATAAAACTTGTCCTCACACCAGTCGTGTTATACAGATCTTGAATTTGCACATGTAAGTAAGGCACGTGCCTATAATATGCTAGTAATCTAGTTGTGAATGGTGATTACAATACTTCAACTGTTGCCTGCGACCCGCCGCGACGCATACAACTGTGGAGGTGACTGGCCCTATAAAACACTCGTTAAACGCCTATTAAAGCTGCTGATCTTGACATTAGGATCTCACGAACTTTCCTGAATCAAGCAAAACGCTTTTCACAAAGGACAAGGAAAGAATGGAGTAAATAGAACGAAAACAGCACGTGTAATTGACAATGCTAAAATATTAGAACAATCGTTTTATAGACCAATTAGAATATAATTAATTACTGATTAAATGGTAGCGATCGCGTGTCCATAAATCCTTAATCATGACCTCTAGGGAGATAAGCAAGGCTGTCGCTTGTTATCTTTTGTGTTATAGAAAAAGGTAAAAATAATGCAATGTTAGCCTTGCACCAGTGTTGTTTATTGTGCAACGCGAAGGAGATTATTCAAAAGTTGTTTAAGTTTAGAGATATTAAGGCAAGGTAGCAACCCACTTTCCTCTACCTGATTGTCTAATTGTGTATCATCATGATTAATTTTAACTATCGCTGGTGTCTATCTATCTAGAGGTATTTACCGATGTCATTGTTTTTCATTCTCCTATCTAAATCAGTTTTTTTGCGCCCGTTTTCGATTACCTAAACATTTTCATTAAAAAACTAATGAATATAAAGATAAAGATGCGTATGAAGTGCGTTTAAAACATATCGAATGCGTTATGCTGGCTGATGATCTGCATATAGAACAAGACGACCCTGCATGTGAAATTATGTCGCACCTTGATCACTCGCTGCAAACCAACACTGATCGCCCGTTATGCCAATGAGTAATTACATGTTAGCTGTATCTCCTTACAATCAAGGAGCACTGGTCACCAGTTTAATGACCATTATGGTAATTAAAAGGATGATGAGGTTACACGGCGAACTTGCATCCATGTATCGTCTCACACGTTCCAGTAAGACAGATAGCACATTTGATGACAGAGCTGTTCACAATTATACTTGACACCGTTGCAATCATTAACTTGCTAAGACAGTTTCCTCGCCACACATTAATGTAAGTGTCGTGTAAGACTAAAACTAATGATCAATAAGCATTGGCTGAGCACATTGCAGCTTCAATAGTTTAACTGTAATATAGTTTATTGTTAGCCGGTGCGCCTCCACGTGCCTCGTACGTGATAAATAATGTATGAGCGAAACAGCGAGATGTGACCACAGTAAACAAATTTCCAAGTCACGACAACTGACTCCTGTGTAACTCATCATGCGCAAAAACATAAAAATGGTGAAGAAACTTACCTAAACTTTCCCTGAGAGTGATCCTCCCATTTGATGATTGACGGGCAGTATTTGGAATCCAGCAGCAAGTTCCTCAGGAACTCCGGCACGGACACACTCCTTGGACGCTTCATCGGTCTTCGGCCACTGCCTTTCGGCCTGCCGGGCGGTCTTTTGAATATTTTCCTTTTGTCATCTTCGTCTCCAGATTTGCTTCCATCACTGCCGTACGAGCACTCCGGGGACGCAGTCTCCGAGGAACGGAACACGTCCTCCGTGTCATCGCTGGAGTCAGTTTGATGCAGGAGAGTGCTGTCGTTAGGGGTGTAGTCGGAGGTGTACAGTCTGTTCTTGTGGTCCAGGGAATCCAAATCGAGCATCGTGTTGGTGGACTCTTGGCTATGGTACGGATCGACGTCTGCATATTTGATTATGGAGGACTGGCGTAATATTTCTTCATGGAGACGGTTCTGCAGCTTCTCATACACACTATCCGCAATCCGTCTCGAAGTTATGTGGTCGATGCTCGGGTGGAGCATTCTATTGAGCACATCCTCACGTTTCATATTTCTCAGATCGAATCCTTTAACTCTAAAATTGTAGAAGGGTATTTCAGTTTCACAATGTCCCAAGTACTGGACGGTGTCGATCATCCAGGACACGGTGTCATCTTCATTCCAGGCGTCCACGACTTTGTACTTCCAGTCATCTCGGTTATCGCGAGGGTAGTCGCGACAGCTGACGAGGTTGTGGTACACGTTCATGGCGCTGTCAATCTCGGGCTCTGGGTACAAGTCGTAGGGCGCGTTAGAATAATAATTTCCGTAGATGTGAGAAGCAGTTCCTTTCTTGAAAACTTGGAAATCGTCAAGGCGCGCGGGCGCCGGTGAAGTAGATGGGTAGTACGGATCGTAATGCATATTTTGATGGGGGAGCGCGTAATCGATCATTGTCGCGACGTACGTGCGGCGTGGCCGGCAGCTCGCGGCGGAATGAGCGGTAGGCGACGAGCGCGGCTTATGATATCCACGCAACTGGCTCACTGTTTTGTTTACAAGATGCGTTTGGCGAGTTCTCCGCCGCGATGAGTGCGTGGGTCGCGCGCCACTAATCAAGATCGCTCTGTGATAGTAGAATGCAAGTTTTTGCGATTTGTTAGGACATGTCGCTTTGCATATGTAATGTTTATGTTTGTCAATGCAAATTGTGGCTGTAGCCAAGGCAAACTGCGGCAGCGATGACTAAATACACTAATGTTTATCTCTAACTGGGATGGTAATAAGTGTAACTTATATAGTTATCGCGTGGATGGCATTGTCCACAACATATCTATGTATTATTTACTTTCGATGATAGTGTTATATTTTTTATTTACATACTGAATTTGTTATAATATTTTATCGTTTCTTACTACGCATTATATTCGATTAGATGACTGTCAAAGATTAACAACAAATTATGATAATATTCGTTATGATATGAATATTTTTACACAGTTAACAAATCGTACTTTAGGGAAAATAAGCTGTTTCAAATATATTTAACTATTAAAATATTATTTAACTAAACCACAATTATTACTATTCAGTTTACTATATTTCACACACATATACACAATAACATACGCATGTTATCACGTACACAGATAGAAATGGGAGTCCGATTACGGATCGGTAATCATCTGTGACAATCAGTTGAGTTACTACAAGGAAAATTATTCAGTTAAAACAGATTTTTAAAACCGAAATTGTTCCGAAAAAATATCAGCTTGCAAAAGATTACTAGCCCTGATAAACTGATAACTGTAAAAAACTTGCCAATCGTATGTTTAATCAAGTAATATTAATAAAATTAAATTGCATGAAAGATTAATTGATTACAAAATTGATCGACGTAGAACTTCAGACAAGTACCTACATGCCTAATTTTATTTCCTTCTAGCGTAGACATACGCTACGTAGCTCGTAGCGCGTAGCAAGTTGGCCCAAGTCTTGAGTGCTACGAGAAATTTCACGCTGATGCACTTCTTATGATTTAGTAATTTTATTTATCTGTACGTAATTACTGCGTTACTATGTTTGCTACGAGAAAGCGTAGCACTAATTAAATGTACTACGCGAGTAAAAACTATGTGCATGTGTTTTCCTTTTTGAGTTTAGGCGAATAAAGTTCATGATTAATTTGTAATATAAATTAGAATTAGTGATACTACATGGTACCAAATATATGATACTTATATAAATACTTAAAAATATTAGTTATGCACACACCTACAAAATTATTATTTTTATATGGCAATTAATCTCACTACTCAAGTCTAGGTATAATAAAATGATATGCAAATTGAATACGCTTCTAAGATCTGAGTGACCATCTATATGTATATATTGTAATATAATTATAATTAATGCATTTATTTAACAATCAATGAAATAAAATTAAAAGCTCTGAGTTCTTAACGAATAGCACATCGTGGTTAATAAAACTTATATTTTCATTTTATATCTAAAAACTTACTATTCGAAAGGAGAATAAACTCTTTTAAGTTATAACATAATTTATGGCATATTTGAAACCCGGTTTTTATGTTAAAAATCGAAATATGTACTGTAAAATTTCAACCGACTTCCCGACTTTTTTAACCAACTTCCCAAAACTGTGAGGCTCTCAAGTTTTTATGTATGTATGCACAATAATTTGTGAACGGATTTGCGTGATTCTCTTTTAATGTCATAAAAAAAAAAAACGTTGCCCCACACTAGGATTGTCTCCTGTATCGTGGATACGTTTACAAACATACAAGTTCACATACCCGAAACCACAATTTGTGGATCATACAAAGAATTGCTCCGTGCGGGAATTGAACCCGCTACACGTTGCGCGGCAGCCGGTTACCTAGCCACTGCGACAACCGTGCAATCAAATAATCGATTTATTTTTTTAATCTAAGTCTTTTTAGAGGCTTTTATCAAAGATATGTCACCCCCATCGTAACCTTTCTACATTACTTGATTATTTCAAATAATCGATTACTTAAGTAAGAAGATATATATATTTTCTTTCATATTTCCAAGAAATCATATCTCTTACAATTATGTCACTGATATGCACAGCGTGCAACAAAGTTTGTCCTTGTAGCGTCCTTATTTCGTAAGCAGTAGGGGCTGTTTTCGTAACTCAGCTGTTATATTGACGTGTGGTTGACAGTTTCATGTTTTTATTGGCTAAGCAAATATGGTTGGCTAATTATTCAGTAGCTGAGATAACTCTTCGTATAACAACACACGTAATTAAGTAACTAAGTATACTTACTTAGGTATTATTAGATTAACGGTTAAGAGGTTGTCATGAAACGTTTGGTGATATTTGAGTTTGATTCCCGTTTAATAAAGTAACATCACGCCTTTTATCCACATGTAATGTACACTGTACAATGTAACACCTACTTTTCACTATATATGTTATGAGTACCCTGTAATAGGGGGTGAGCCTATTGCCACAATCCCAGACTCCGTGCTATTACTGATTTTTTTTAATAAAAGAATCCCGTTTAATTATTTACAGTATATTAATTATTTATTTACTACTTAGAACCGATTTTTCCAAAACCAGATAGATTTTACTAAAAACTATAAACTGTCATTCTATTCTACAGTTAATAATTATTATCTGTTCATTGTCAAATCGGTCCTTATAATGATTCGTATGCAGTTTATATCAACAGTTTTCCGGTACTGTAATTACCGGTATTCTTTGCTGATAATAATTTTGTCAATCATACGATAGCAATCCTTTAGCTGTTATCTGTATCTATATTATAATTACGGTTATATCATAATCAAACTGTTCTTCATATTTGTTTTATAAAAATCGACACTTGACCTCTTAATAATAATTAGGGGAAAGTCATGCTGCGCCACGAATGGGCCGCCACAACCAGAGTTATACCACGGCCTCACAGAAAACCGACGTGAAACAACGCTTGCGTTGTTCCACGTCGCATTAGTGAAGTTCCCAGAGGCCCAACTACCCCCCCCCCTTTCCCAATGTCCCCAATCCTTGAATCCCCGACATTTCTCAAATTCCTAAACCCCAAAAGGCCGAAGTCCTTTGGCGACGTCGATTGCTTACCATCAGGTGATGTTAGTTTACCGGCTTATACCATAATTTTTTTTTTCGCAATGTTATGCAATAAACCGTAGAACACATTTATACCCTTAATCAATTTTGTAAATAAACATTACTGAGCAATTCCTCTATTCTAAATTTTGGAACACTTGTGGCGATTTTCAACAAACACCCCAAAACCATCAAATAACGCGTGAATTGTTAGGGTACCTAAACTATCCCCATACCTAGGTATTATTATAATTTTAATTATAATATCTGAGCTTAGGATCCCTTAAAAAATCTAGGAGAGGTTGATAAAAACGAGCACAAACGCTCGCAAAATTTTCCTTGCCACCAGTCCCAGACTAAGATTAATTCAAAAAATATACAATTAAAGGTCACGTTTACATTTGTTAGGTTTCAAAAACTCGTGCTGTGTACCTACTCCCCTACACCTACTTCGTGTGAACTCGGGTCGGAGTTGGCGATTTTTTAATATGTACTTTGTGTGTGAGTTGCAAAGTCAGGTGACTTTGTACGTTTTCTGAAAAACCTTATAAAGACTATGAGAAACAAGTGTACCTAATATATGTATTTACACCTGTTATTTTCCGATGAGGTAGGCATGGAGTAACTGCGTCAAATTTTTAACCAAGTCTGGTTTTCATGTCCATATGAAAGTACAAAGTGTAGTTTAGATTGTTATTGAGGAAGAAAAGTCAGGAGAAAATATATCTACGACTCTCTGTTTCTTTCATATTTTGTAGCATTGGCAGTACACTTGCTATTTATCATAGCCGTCCCATTTTTATATGAATTGATCATAAAAAGAATATTAATGAAAATCACAATTACTACTACGTCTTATAAAAAAACAATATGGTGGCTTTGACCACAAAGTCAGCGTTTTAGGTAAAATTATATCATACAGTTAATAATATATTAAGTAATAAGGAGCTTAAGAAAACAATGAATTTACTACATACAATCTTATTTATGTCTTATGTCCACACCATATAAGAAACGAATGGAATAATTTACCAACATATTCAATTTATTTTTCCAATGGATCTGTTGTGTCGCAAAACAAAACAAAGTGTAATAGTACCTACGGGCAAACCACAATGATTAGTAGTGGACGTAATAGAGGCTTGTGAATCACTTATATTCCCAGTAGTAGGTACCTAACTTCCAGACTTAGTGGCTACATGTTGTGGCTACTAGAGCTTGATAGGACGACACCCTAACTTTTTAACCACCTACGTAAAAATATGGAAAGTAACTGTCAAATCATTGAGGATGATAATTAAGTAGTGCCACGCTGTTCAAGTGAAGATACTGAACAAAAGAGGTTTTATTTTATAATTTTCCGGTCATAGCCAATAGGAAGAAGTCTGGAGCTTGGTGTATGAAAGACACGCCCCCTATTACATTGGATCTTCGGGGTTTTAGAAGACATAATGCTATATCTCTAGGTAGTAATTTTTATTTATTTAATTTTTAATTATATATAATTTCGGTAAACTATTTTAACCGACTTCAAAAAAAATGAGCTGCGCTGTTTAACCCGTATGTATGTATTGAAAATTGAGTACAGAAAATTGTATAATATACACTACATAGGAGAAGGTTTTAGTACATTGATTGAACGACTTCAAAAAGAGGGAGCTGAAATCGGTTTGTTTAAAAATGGTTTATAAAAGAGTTATTAAACTTTGTTGTAATATTTATTGAAGATAATACCAATATCCTGATAGTTGACATTAGGTAGATAATTCGAACTGGGATTGCCTTCGCACGAGTGAGCCTCTAACGATTCCTAGTAGAACCTAACTACAAA